ATGATACACAGCATATTGACTATTTTTTCTTATTACTTTGTAATAAAACTTTCCTTTTTCATAAAAAACAGCAAACATCACTCCATATTACTGCATAACAGACCTTGAATCCTCCTATAGTGTTCTTTGTGCTGTCCAATCCAAATAATTGCTTTCTGATGGCATGTGTTGATATCTTTCACTTTATCCCAATAATTGTAATTCAGCCTTTTCCTATTGATTTATTTGACTGTAAACTATTGGACTTTTTACTACTCTAGAACACCACTAAAGTCTTATTTTTATAAAAGAACAACTATACCTTCCTGGCTCATCCAGAGCATGAATATTTTCTTTCTCGTTTATAAGCAGATCTGCCACTTGCTGCTTGTTTTCCCTTACAGCAAGCAAATGTGGTGTGAGGTCATCCTGTGAATGAAAAAAGTTATTATCCACACAATTGTCTATTTCTTAACTGAACTGAAAACCTTGAAAAAGTTCCCATTGCTCTAACCTAATACAGTAGACCCTTGACTTATAAACTCGATTAGTTCTGAGGGCTGGTTGTAACTATGTCATTACTGTTGAGATGTAGATGTTTACCTCGGTACATGCTACAGATAACAAGAGGCAGATAAATCTTCCATTAACCTCATTAACCCAAGTTGTTCATATGTCAGGCCAGCCATAACTTGCAGGTCCACTGTATAAGGAATAAATGCACAGCAGTCTCTTCCTCCTCGTTATGCTTCCACATGTGCGGTTCCTGAAATGCACTACCTCTGCCTAGAGTTGCTACATGAACTCAGGTCAAAACTCGCCTCAGACTTCACTGATTCCAAGGATCTTTCCTTCTGTCACAGATTCATTATGGTACTTTGAGTTATGTGACGGCTCCCACCTGAATCAAAAGCATCTTGAGGCCAGGGGATATATCTTTTATCTCAGTAGTCCCAATTCCTAAAGCGTAGCAATAAAAGATTTGTTTTTATTGAACTGATGAGCTAAATAATCCCTAGTGCAGGGTTTCTCAGTCTATCCTCCAAAGAATAATTTTCCATGTTTTTTGCCTCAACAGATTCACTAATCATCGGAGAGATTATTATAAAACTGCATTATTTATTCAGTATTAAAATCTCTTTAATTTTGCTTTATTCCTATTGGACAATACTTTTTTCTGTCAAATATCAACACCTGAGGATTAAGAGTTTTAGGGATACAGTGTTGAGGTCTTTCCCATAACATGGAAGTTTCTTCTGGATTATGGAGGAAACCTGCTGGATTCTGTGTATGGTGTCAGGATCCAAATACAGATGTCAACAAATCCTGCTCCAATTGAGTCCACAGGACATGGTCACTCATTTGTGAAATAGGCTCCAAATGAACTCTGACTGCTTATTACTAAACTGCCTATGGGTTTTTCTCCTATTACTAGATGAAAATTTTATCTTAGCTGAGAAAAGGCTCAGTATAAAACTTTGATTCTCACTGATTATAATAATCCTAAAATCCATACACCTATGTACTCTTTGTAATACGTTTTCATTCTGTTCCCATTCTAATTGCTAAGGCTATCTCTTAAAAACTATGATGGTTTAGCAATTAAAAGTCTAATACTGCCCCATATGGATTAGTTTTATCATAATGAAGCCACTAAGTCACTTGTATTTTTAAGGGATAATGCTGAAGAGAAAGATATAATATTGGTGGTAACAGGCATAACTTATTCAATTGGAATTAGAATTAACCTAATAATGCTTGTAGATATTACAACAGGAACATGAAAACTTGTCAAAACAACTTCTAAATTCAATTCCATTTCTAAGATGGTACCATAAAATACAGATAACATTCTTATGAATTCATATAAAATATATGAAACTCCTTACTCTTAATTACAATATACCATAAATCAATAGCTGAAAGTCATGAAGGCCAAGTAGTGAATAGGAGAAAATACAGAGGTGGGTCAATAGCAAACTGGAGAAGACATGAGAGCTTCAGATACAGGGGGCACATCCCAAGAGTCATACGGGCTCCCAAGAGACTAGTTTTCTTCTTTTTGAGAATCTTGAAACCCCCAAATTCTGGTGGAGTTTCCTGAAATTTCAAAGTGGACTCACTGTATGGAGGCAAACTGAACACAGCTAAGAGCCACATTCAGTCCATAGACTTTTGCTCATATCTTTGCTGTGTGTGTGCTTCCAAATGGTTGTGTACAAAGCAAATGTGTGCATGTGAAATCCTTCCTTTAACATCCTGTTTTACTGAAAAGTGAAATCAAGGGGCTGGTGATTAAGCTCAGTGGCACCATGCATGCCTGGCAAAAGCAAGGCCTTGAGTTTGATTCCCTATTAAAAATAAAGTGAGGTCCCATGATGTAATGAAAAAGATTCATTATGCCTATTTTAATTGTTTTTGAACACTTTAATTTATCCTCCATTTCTATGCAATCCTCCCCAACTGTTAATTAAATAAATAGTTTCATAGGAGTGCTAAAAATAAATTATCCAAAAAACGTCCAAATGGGCACAGAGGCTCACACCTTTTACCTCATCACTCTGTGGGGCCAGGCAGGAGGATCCAGCTTAACAAGGCCTGGTCTCAAATTTTCAAAAGGGGTGAGGAGTGCTGAATGCTGGGGAGGTAGCTCAGTTGGAAGACCCTAGGTTCAATCCTCAGTACCACACACATGAAATTAATAAAAATGCTCAAAAAGCATTCTCATCTACTTTCTAACTAACTTCACTGATTTCTGCCAGGGCTCAGTGAACTTAAAACATTGAGATGTCTACCACATGCCTTCAACTAAAAACAGGCTCATGGTTGCCTCTATTCAGTTCAGAGAATTCTGAAAATAATCAACATTTGTTGACTTTATCCTCTGAATGATAATAATGAAATGTAGAACTCGTAAAGATTCAGCCTCAGCCTAACCATAAGTGAACTTCTGCAGAGTTTCTCAACAGCAGTCAGTGACTAAAGGTTGGTGGGAAAGTGGTGGTATTCTGCACAGCAACAGCACCAATGATACTCCTTCTAACTTCCCATTGACAGAGGTGGAGAAAGACAAATGAAAGCTGAGCTAATATGTTGGAAAGGAGAGGCTGGAAGAAAGTGGTATTTAATCAAACTCTTCCACAGATTTCTTAAATTCCTGAGATTTGGGAATTCATCATTATACTTGCTTAGTAAATGGTTCTGAGCTATATCAGAATCTTGAGGAAACAGTTTTAAATATCCATGCCCAGACCTTACTAGATTTACTCAATCAAAATCTCAGGGGACAGTCGCAACTCATACATTTTCAAAACTTTCCCCAGACCTCTGAGAAGTGCAAGTCTAGATAAGAACTAGAGAACCTAGAAGGTCACTTTGGTTTCATCTCTCATCTACACAGCCAATTCTTTTTACCATTTGGGGATTTTCAAAAGGGAAAGTAAGAGAAAGTTACTCCCTGAAAGCCCCATTTAATCCTGTTGGGTAGGGGCGGGACCAGACTAGAAAATTCAAAATGCATTATACAAGCCCCTCATAGCCCAGCTCCCAGCAAAACATTATAGGTTTGAAAGCAGAATTTAGATCATTATATCAGTTGCTGTTTCTCCCTGAAACAGAGAGAATGTCTGCTAATTATTTGTTCATTTCCTCTTGCTTACCATGTAAGCACCATCCAGCCAATGCCAATCTGGCTTCATCGGAGCTCTCCTAAAATTGCAACTTTGCAAATATACAACTTTCTAAACTAAGAATTTTTATTCCTAAGCGAGGTACAGCGGTGCATGCCTGTAATCCCTGCACTGTGGGAGACTGAGGCAGGAAGACTAAAAGTTCAAGCCCAGCTTGGGCAACAAAGTAAGCCCCTGTCTCAAAATAAAAGATAACATAAAAGAGCTGCAGATGTAGCTCAGCGTGAAGGCCCTGGGTTCAATCTCCAGTATTGCAAAAAAAAAAACTATTCTCAAAACTGAAAATCAGACACACATTGTTTAAATACTGCATTGCTTCTCTGGTGTGAGAAACTAAAAGGGGAAATAAAGACTAAAATGTATAACAGGCATTGGGAAATGGTAAGAAAATGTTCAAATGGGAAGGGGCACAAAGGAGAGGGAAGGGGATAGGAAGGATGGGACAAGCAAAAAAGTGAACACAGAAACAAAGCATTGTATATAGGGAGGGGAGGGGGTCAAAGGGAAGGAACAATGGAAAAAACAAGAGGCGGAGTATAATATGTACAGGTGCAAATTTCCCAGTGGTGAGTGTTATCATTTTATATATAAAATGTGCCAATAAATGTTTTGGTTTAAATAAAAACAAACAAATAGAGAAATAAAAACATACAAGGAGCATCTTGTCTATATAGAGAGACCAAAAAAATATTTTTCCAAAAACAAGAAAACAAACAAGGGACAAGAGATTTAGCTCAGTGGTACTGCACCTGCCTTGTAAGATCAAGGTCCAGAGTTCAATCCCCAGAACAAAAAAACAAAATGAAAAAATGATAACCCCCACTGACCTGCATATTTCTAAATCACTTTCCCTTTCCAGTTTTCCCATTTAAGTGAGACCACTAAAAAATGAATCACTTTTATGACTTCTCAGCAGCAACAAGATTTCCACTTATTATGAGATGAGGTTGTTCTGTTTAAATATTAAAATAAAGTCTATTTCCAAGGCAAATGTTGCTGTCTTGTGTTGTTTTACACTATGTAAGGGGAGGAAAAAATACTTTGGTAGAAATAATATCAGAAAAAAGAAAAGACTTACTTCTTAAAACTTCAGTGTTTTCACAAATATTGCCATAACTTCATAAAAGCAACCCATATCCTCTAGTGTTTCTTTAACATTATCACCATTTAAAGTGAAATCTTTAACTATTAAATTATTTTAAATATTGTGTTTTTATCCATGGAATGCTTGAGCTTATGAAAAACTGACCCTACCTATATGTCACTGTTAACATGCATCTACTTCAAATACCTTGGAAAAGAAATTGGTTGATCTATACCTTATTTTTGGCCTCAGTATCTGCATGGTGTGAAAGCACTTTTGCCACTATTGATGAGTTTTCCCAATAGACAGTGGAGAGCAGTGTTGCCACTGGCATCTGCAACATTCGGATTGGCACCGTGTTCCAAGAGAATAGTTGTGCAATCTTCCTGGTGGTATTGTACAGCCTGTGGGTATTGTAAGAAGAGGATGTCAACTCTGGGAACTCAAAAGAGACCTTCCTCATGCCTCACCAAGTAGTGATATTAAATTACATCAATTAAATTTTATTTCAGCAATTAAATGTAATCCATCTCATGCTGAAATTGGTGCCTGCTACCCACCTTAATCAGGGCGTTACTGTTTTCCCTGTCACAGGCATCGATGTCACATTTTTTCTCCACCAGGAGAGTCACCACTTCTGGATGGCCATAGACACAGGCAAAATGCAAAGCAGTCCTATGACAGTGAGAAAGATTCTTAGGAAATTACAGAGCTCTATTTCAAAATGCACCATTATTCTTGTACTCATGAATATTAAATAGCCTTCAACACAAATAGTTAATTTTCTTCTAAAATGTACAATACTTATTACTCACCAATTCATGGAAGAGCAGCCAGGTGATTTTGTGTTTGTGTGTGTGGTGCAGGGATTGAAGCCAGGGTCTTGCCCACACTAAGCAACTGCTCTACACTGAACCACAACAGCCTCCCCATCCCAGAGCAGCCTACTGTTATGCAAAGAGCAAATTTTGGATTGAGCTCAACTTGAATTTAATATTTCCTTTAAGTTCTTACTTTCTAGCTGTCTTTGAGCCTTTCTATGCCTCAACTTTCTCACCTACAAAATGATGAATGAAGTTATCTCACAGTATACTACTGTGCTAGTTAAATAAGAATCCATACCAAATATTTAGCACTATTTCTAGAACAAATAACAATAATCATTAGCTGTTGTAATCACTACTTAAGAAAGACAGCATTTCAATTAAGTAAAATAAATCATTTGTATAAGAAGGTGCAACTATCCATGTTCAGCACTCAACCTTTGGATACGAATCCCAATTCACTGAGTCAGTGCTGCCATGAATAAAATTGCTTCCTGGGAAAACAGCCTCAACATCTCTTCTCTCTACATGAACATCCTGCAGCAGTGCAATGAAAAAGTGTTCTTCATATAAAGTCATCACATATTCTGTCATGCCATATATTAAGTAAAATATGATACAGCAACAGGTATATGGCAGCAGGATCCACATGGTTGGTATTTAAAAACTACTACAAGGAAAGAGGGCTAAATAACAAAGAAAAATAATATAAAATAACAACCCTTAATTTGATTTTCATTTTAACTGAATAAAACACAGGTTTCAAATTGGTAGGTACGGCCCATTTTATTCACTATTTATATTTATAGAGTGCACAGAAATTAAATATTTCTAATGCTTAAAATTAGCTTTTAGTACTGTTTCACATTTTCAAGAGTCTTTAGTGAGTCTCATAACTTCCTATCTTCAGAGGATGTTTTGGTATAAAAGAAAGAAGGAAAGCTTCAATTAAAATTGAAGTTCTTGGGCAGAGGGGGTGAAGGGGTAGCAGAGGAAAGAGGAAAAAATGAGAATCAAGACTTGTCACATAGAGGTACAAAATCCCAACAATGAATGCAACTGTACAGTATCCCTAAAATATACCAATAAACTCAATTAAAGCTGAAAAAAATTGAAGTTCTTCAATTTTGAATCTCTCAACTTCCTAGACTGAACAAGTAAGCATGATCGTTTAAGGAGGGAGGGATCCTGATAGTAGAATATATAATAGGTATTCAGGTTATGTTTGGTGAATAAATGGATTGAAAGAATGGATAAATACTTGGGGAGTATAAAGTAAAGCAGTAATTCTTCAATAGTAATAATCACTTATATGTGATATTTTTTACTTCGATAAAGATACAATTAAAATGATTTAGACTTGCATATACATAGTAAATCTATATATAGTACAATGCACAGAATTATGTATGCATATAATAAAAAAATCTCTAAGCACAGAAGATTCTTTTACTTCTGAAGGAGCCTAGAGCTGGCAAAAATACCAATACACACACAGACAGCACAAAATTGTTATCTGTGCTAATTCATATTCCTGTTGTTATCCAGTTTATTAACAGTAAACTTTTCTTTGAATTTAATATACATTCACTGTATGAATCACAGGTAAGAGAAAGGAAAGAAAGGCACACAGAACTATTTACAAAACTCATCACATGATAATCCAGACGGCAAGTCTCAAAATACATCAAAATACTGAACTATTACTGAGTATGTTTTCTGAGGTCAATGAAATAAAATTAGAAACACAAAGATAGTGAGAAAATCTTAAATATTAGAAATAGAAAAAAACTTCTAAACAATAAAAAATGAACAGAAAACTTCATTTATTCAAATGCCTGAAAATAAATTTTATCCAATTTTGTACACGTTTTGGCTAACACAGACTTCAGTCTATTTTTATGTACACAAAATCAAACTGACTTTTTTTTTTCTTACTTGATATACCAGAGTACATCTTTTCATGTCAACATACATCAATGTCTATGCCAACTTCAATGGCCATATTATTGTATCCTATGAATGCAGTGCAATTGATACGATCTTTTTGATGGACTCTCCTTAAGCAATGCTGAAGAAAAGCCAATGACATGAGTCTCTATTTACTAAAGATATTTTAGAAATATTGAATTGATGGGTGGAAACACGCTTTTTAAAAATATGCTACAGAACTCACACCAAATTGTCTATTTAAATAAGTCATTAGCCACCTTAAATTTTAAGCAGCAATATAAATTGCTCTTCATCTTCAAAATCTTTGTAGATGTGGAACAGCATTTCATTCCTTTTTAAAATTAAATTTCCTTTACCAGGGACTCTCTGTATTTTTTTTCTATGTTTATAGGTCACTTGTAGGTCTGAACAAGAATACTTTACCCAATTTAGAGTTCAGTGTAGCTTACTGGTGATCCCCAACTTGAAAATAAATAAATAAGAATTCAGTATTTTTCCCTAGATGAGGTGAAAAATATTTCTGTAAAATGAAGAAACATTTTGCATCTGATGTATGTTGTAAATCTTTTGCAAGTATATTGTCTTTCATTTTGTTAACTTTTCTCTAAAATAAAGGAGAGTTTGATTTTTCTTTTGATTGTCAAACATCAGAATGCCTGTTTCTATGCAGGTTGTGTGTTTAGCACGCACCAGGCTCTGAGCACAACCCCCAGCACAAAAAAAGAAAGAGTGCTTGCTTTTGAGGTCATTCTTAGGAAGGCACAAATAGGCATTTGTGTTTTCTTTTGGTACCTTTCTCATATTGTACTATTTCTGAAATGTAACCTATACTCTAGGAACTTTTGTGAAAAAAAATTTCTAGCTCACAATTTTCAAACAGTTAATAGGCATTTCATTCATGGGTAACTCTGATTTTCCAACTCATGTGGATGTCACCAGTATTCAGTTCTAAATTCTTACAGATACTTGAGTGTTTCTGGATTTTCTATTAAGTTACATTCATTTATCTGTCTTTTGGGATATTAGCAAACAATTTGTTTTGATACCCAGCAAGGCAGGACTTCACTACGTTTTCTTAGTGACAAAATAGAAAAAGAGGGTGTGTGAAGTCAAGCGTTAGGTGACAGTTTTATTGGGTTTATAGAAAACTGATGAACAGAAAGTTCACATTTTGGGATTACTGAATATTTCTAGTCAAGAACATGGAGCCATGTTTCCATTTCAGTTCCCTTGTAACATTCTGCAGTAAAGAATATATGTGCACAGGTGAGGGCTGATAGAAAATGGATACTAGATTTTATTCAAATAAGTTCTAGCCCTGAATTTATATATCATATCATATTATTATATAATGTATTAATACATGTCATGTGATATATATAATGTACATTTTATTATTATATAATGTAATAATATATAATATAATACATAATATAGACATTATAAATATTATATGAATATGTTCTATATTATACATCATATATTATATATTGTATTATATATTAATACATTATATAATGGCATAATACATTATATATTAATACATTTTATAATATATTATATATAAATTATACACATATTATACAATATATCTTATGCTGTACATTATATTAAATGCATATTATATATTATTGTATTACACATTATATATCAATATTAATAATAATACATAATATAATGCATGATTAACAAAATAAATATAATATGATCAATATAATATTAATATATTATATATTATATTAAATATAATAATATAAAATATTGATATATTATGGGAAATATTTCAGTGTATTCTTTTAAAATGTATAAAACAGTTATCTTAATGTGATTTTAGGAATAAAATCCTATACACACATTTGTTCCTGTGGTTAAATTTCTTTGAAGTAGTTAATAAAGTAATCTATAACTGCTGATTGATTTTATTTTGCTGCTTATAAATATTTGGCTGCCTGGGGATAGACCCCCCTCTAACCTGTCCCCCCTCCTCATCCCCTCCTCACCCTCTCGGGCCCTCCCCCTGCCTGCCTCTCCCCTTCCTCACCCTGTCCAGCCCTCCAACCTTGGACCTGCCACTGCTCCTGCACTTTCCCAGCCCCACCTGCACACCCTCCCCTGAAGCCCCATTACCTGTGCTTCTTGTCTCCGTCATTGACACCACTTTTCCTCAGCATGAGGCGCTGCTCCACTTTCGCCGTGTCGCCCACACTTTCGGCCTTGTGTAGCTTGCCCATGGCCTTGGGGCGGGCTCTGTGCTGTGGATCCCCGCAACTGCCCTCTAGGCCTGAGGGGTCTGAGGGCACCCGGCCCCTACTACTGAAGCCAAATAGCCTCCTAATGGCTGAGGCTATCGGCATCCTAGCCCTCCCATTCAGCCTTTCTCCAACGAAAAATTTAGCCAACTGAGCTTGTAGAACAACTACTAGGCTCTGCTGCTGGCTTCCACCTGGGTGGAATCTCTGTTACCAAGCAAAAGGACTAACTGCCTCTGCGCATGTGGCGCATGCTCACGAGGCCTTCTCAGTACATAGATGCACCTGTCCACGTGGGACTTCTTCCTTTCCTGTATATTATTTTTATTATTTTATTATTTTCTCTTGCCTGAGTGTAGGAGACCAAATATTTATACTCTCAGAGTTGTTTTTGAGCCTAACATAACCGCCTCCATGTTAACATCTGAGTCACCTCACTGGCACAGACGTGCCTATGACTGTACTAACGGCCTTGCTCATTTAATGACCTAATCTGTTACATAACAACTGTATCTCATCATGACTGTTACTGTACAATAGGTTTCTCCTTTATCATTTTATGATTAGCTACTTCCTCTTACAATTTTGTGGGTTTTGCCTTTATATACTGCTTGTGCCTGCAAATAAATGAGACCTTGACAAGCCTCTGCTTGGTCTCCTTCTTTCTGTGCCTCTTTTGTCCCATTTCCAGGTATCTCCCCTTCTCGAGCTCTGCTAATTACAAGCCCTGCTGACTGGGGCACCTGAGTTCTCTGGATAATGTTTTAAGAACTATAGTGAGAAGGAGTGGTGATAGTGGACATCCTTATCTTGTTCCTGTTTTAGAGGCAAAGCATTCTGCTTCTTCTCACTTAATATGATGGTGATTGTTGGTTTGTCCTAAATTGGCCTTTGTCAGTTTGAGATGAGATCTTTCTACAACTGTTTGCTTCAGTGATTTTTTTTTTTTAATATCACGAATGGATGTTGTTTTTTGTCAAATGCTTTTTCACCATAAATTGAGATTATAATGTAATTTGTCCTTATTTTTGTTTATATTGTGTATTACTTTTATTGCTTTGTATATATTGAAAAGTCTACCTGTGCCCCTGGAATGACCCTTGTTCATGATGTACATTTTTGATAATTTCTTGTACTCTCTTTGCCAGTATTTTGTTGAGACATTTGTGTTAATATGCATTAGAGAGATTGGCCTGTAAGTCTGTTTTTAGGCTGGGACTGTCTTCATTTGGAATCATGGTCATGCCATCTCACAGGAATGACTTTGGGAATACCTTTTCTTTTCATTAAAGTGTTTGATGAGTACTGGCATTAGATGACTCCCATGGGGACCTGTGCTTTCTTCGTTGATCTTTTTCTTAATTACTTCTTCAATTTCATTGTCTGATATTGGATGATTCAGGATTTTTATATATTTTTGGTTCAGCTTTGGTAGTTCATATATATATTTATATCTATCTATCTATTAAGAATCTATCTATTTCTTCTGAATTCTCCATTTTATTAGAGACCATTAGTTACTTATGGTCTTTTGAGTTCAGCAGAGCCTGCTCAGATTTTGCCTTTTTCAATTCTAATGGCTGTAGTTTGGGTCTTTGCTTTCCTCTTTTTGGCAAGACTGGCTAGATTTTGTCTATTTTATTTATTCTTTTAAAGAACCAGGTATTTGATTCATTGATTCATTGTACGTTTTAGACTCAATTTCATGAATTTCTGCTTTGTTCCTTATAATTTACTTCCTAATACTACCACTGGATTTGGATTGTTCTTGTTTTTCTAGGAGATATGGAATACATTATTAGGTTTTCTATTTGGGCTCACCCTTGTTTCAGATGTAAGCATTCACAGCTATACACTTCTCTGTCATGACTTGCTTTCACTGTGTCCCATAGGTTGTGGTATGTTGTACTGGCTTGATTGTTGAATTCTATGAACTAATCTCTTTCTTGATTTCTTCTCTGATGAATTTATTATCCAAGTGGGTAGTGTTTAATTTTTATGTGTTTTAATATTTTCTGTTATGTTTCTGCCATTGATTTGTAGTTTCATTGCAATCTGATCTGAAAATATGCATGGTACAATTTTGATTCTTTTGCCTTTACTTAGTCATGCTTTATAGGACAGCGTATGATCTACTTTAGAGAAAATTCCATGTGCTGCTGAGAAGAATATGTATTCTGCACTTGTTGGGTGGTACACTGTAGTATTTATCATCCCCGTTTGTTTGAAGGTTTGGGTTAGTGATATTTTTGTTGATTTTTTTGTCTAGTTGATCTATTTTTTGTTTTGGTTTCCTTCTGTTTTTCAGTTAATCTGTTTTTGAGAGTGGGGAGGGTAGAGAGAGAGGAACAAAAAGATCAAAAGAATAAGAAAAATAACACTCATGAGCCACAGAGAAATAGAAAGTAGGATGAATCTGTTAAGCATATCATAAGTTGTGCATTTCTGCTCTGTAGGACCTTATTTCTCAAAAGAAATTCTTGAGCTACAGAGTAAAACATAAGACATGTGATTAATTTTAGAAATTAGTCCAGGACAGACAAAGCATGACTATAATACAGAAAGGAAAGACTGAATAGAGAAAATAGATTTTTATAATAACAACAGCTTCAAATAGCAAGGCCTCTGTGGCAAAGGACGGAACTACATGAACACTTTACTGAAAAGATATGAAATCTATACCAAATTCATAGCACAGCCATCCACAGAACTGGAGAACCAAAACAAGAAAGGAACTGGACTGCAGGAAGTGTGAGAACTATGCTATTGGCTAGATCCCAGCGCTGGTGTCTGGAAAGGGTTCAGATGGGCTGAGTTTCCACAATACAATAAAAGTTCCTTAATATTTGAGTTAGGCTTGGGGGTAGGTTTAATACTAGGATGAGGGTGGGGTTAGAATTAATTTTGAGTTAAGGTTACATTTGGAGTTAGACCAGATTAGGGTGAGGTACAGGGTTAGGGTTAGGAATCAGAGTTAGGGTTAGGGTTAGGGTTTTAGGGTAAAGGTAGAAATTAGTGTCAGGCTCCAGATTAGGGTGAGGGTTACAGGGTTACAGTGTAAGAATTGGGGTTCGCATGCATGTTCAGGGTAGGTTTTAGGGATAGTTTTCTAGTTGAGATTGGGGTTCAGTAGGTAGGTTAGTGTTATGATGAAGGTTGATAAATCAAACAATTCCCCTCAAAATTCCTTACATTTTATTTATAAATATATTCCAATATATTTTGGTAAATTAAATATTTATTTGAAAAACCTTAGAGTAAATATTAAAGCTTAGTCCAACAAAGTAAAATAGTGTATTATTTTACTAATATTTCCAAAGGAAAATATTTCAGACATGGCTTAAACACTGTGGCCATGATCAGACTTCTCTCTCTGGTTGTCTGTTATTGTTTTCTGTACTGGGAATTGAACTCAGGACATCAAGCTTACCAGACAGGCACTATGCCACTGAGCTAAATCCCTGGCCCTATCTGTAACTTTTAACTGTGACAAAATTGGGCCTTGCCACACGTCACTTTTATAATTCATTGCTTAACCAATGAATTCATTGTTATTTCACATTATAGGTTGTTATACAAAATGAAATGTATATTTGGTATCTGCCCTTGGGTCCTATGAAAGTATTGTCATACTTGCTTGAATGATTGGGTATTAAAAGCATCTTCTGTTTTTGTGCTTGGTCTTTGATCATAGTTCTTTTCACAAACTCCCAAATAATCTGCAACTTCCAGGATTATAAGAATGCCTTTTATTCTTACAAGGACTCTAGATGGAAGATAGTAAGTAAACATAAATGCATTACGGCTTGAATCTAGATCCCCCCCACCAAGCTTTATATGCTCATAGGTGGGACTTTTTGTAGGTGGCTGGATTTATGGTGGGTGCATATGGATTCAGGGTACATGATAAATAAATTAGTCTACTGATTGCTTTGGCATAGTTCTGGGTGTGGATTATGGGAAGGCTCACTCTAGGTGTGGTACCATCCAATAGGCTTGTAGCCTGAATGGAAAAAAATGGAAAGTAAGGCTCAATGTGTCTGCTTTGCTGCCTTTTGCCTGACGTGCCAGGCATACTATTTCTCTTCCATGCCACCCTGTTCTACAGCCAGTGACTATGGCCTGAAACTTCTACAAACTGTGTGTTCAATAAACCTTCCCTCCTATAATTTGTGGGTGTTGGGGTGTCCCAGCAGTGAGAAAGACAACATGTTGCTTTGGCACTTTCAACCTACATCACATCCTCTGGTAGAATATAGGATAAAGATGGATTAAATAATCAGTGATGCATATATGATTAAATCATCATCAAAACCCCTAGAATGTATAGTTTAGGGAGTCAATGAGGAAATCCTTGTAGAGGCAGTACCCCCTGAGTGCATGGGGGCAGAGGCTCCCGCTCTGGGAAACCTCCTGGATCTCTCTCTGTGCCTCTTTAAAT